GGAACCGAACTCACGACCTTGCGCTTGCCAGGCAGGCGCTTTGCCGCTGAGCTAAATCCCCAGCCCGGCCTTCCTATTTTTGCTGGTATTACTAGCCTGACAAATAGGATTTGTGTACCTCTCTAATACAACACAAAATAAAGTAGCATTGGTGGCTGGGGATTTAGCTCAGCGGCAAAGCGCCTGCCTGGCAAGTGCAAGGTCGTGAGTTCAGTTCCCGGTACCGGAGAAAAACAAACAAACAAAAATAAATAAAGTAGCATTTCCTTATCTGTTTGGGATAAAATTCCATGTCCGCAATGTGTATTTCCAATATTGGATGTTAATATTATCACACACATAGAAACACACACATACCTATATCATTTTAAACATTTATACTTATGGAATAATTTCATAAATTTATATGGATAAATATTGACAATGGTAGTGAAATTGATATAATAACCATGATGTAATCAGTGCCATGTGAATGTGTTCTTTCTCTTTATATCTCATCTTGCATTGTATTTAATCTTATTGTCATGTGGTGACATCACATGATAGCTGGTGAAATAGTGAGATAAATGATCAATCAAAGGGGCTCTAGATTTAATTATGCCACTGAGAGTAAAATGACTTAAACTTTGTCATCTTTCATTTCTGAATTTTGAACTTAATATCATGAGACCCTGCTGAAATGCAATTGTTTGAACATGTGGATAAAGAGAGACTATAATTGTTTAGCTGCTGCTATACCCCAAAGCCTGGACAGACAGGGGCAAAGGTTGTGCATTATAACCCCTACATCCCCACAGGAAATACTTTGCTAGGTTAATGCAATGCTTACGTCTCTTGCATTTAACTCATACACTTGTGAATATCACATGCTCGTTCTGCATATTGGTGGCTCTACATTTCTGGCATCACAATATGACATCATTCTCATCACCTGCTATTCTTTTTCTGCTAAACATATTCCATGCACTTTCTTTAGAAACCAAGGAACTTTCATGAAATCCTGATACCCTTGCATATTCAGGATGCTGCTGTTTACAGATAGCTGACTTAATTTGGGACGTATGGTGTTTAACTTTTGCTTGTATAAAAGTACATGATATGAGGGGCTGGGGATTTAGCCCAGCGGCAAAGCGCCTGCCTGGCAAGCGCAAGGGCGTGAGTTCGGTTCCCGGTACCGGAGAAAAACAAAAAAAAAACAAAAGTACATGATATGTAATCGGTAAATGGAATATACATCTATGAAAAATGGAGAGGATCAAGAAATAGATGAAAGGGGCTGGGGATTTAGCTCAGTGGCACAGCGCCTGCCTGGCAAACTCAAGGTTGTGAGTTCGATTCCCAGTACCGGAGAAAAGCCAAAAAAAAAAAAAAAGAAATAGATGAAAAACATGGAGGGAATGAGAAAGGCAGCAAAGATCTTACATCAATTATACACACCAAATGCCTTCGAAAAATGAATATTTACATTATATACAAATATATACCAATTAAAATTATGTAGTTTAAAATAGCTCTGCTTTTGTGACTGTTTATCTTATTGTCCATTAGGCCTATAGAGTAACATGCCATGAAATCTGGGAAAGCCCACTTCTCAATGTCTGTGTTGCCAGGGTTATAGCTCAGCGGCATAACCACTTGCCTGGCAAGCCCGAGGTCATGAGTTTGATTCCCGGTACCAAAAAAAAAGGGAAACTTGGGAAACATGGTCATGAGAAAAATTGGTGTCACCCATGAAGACTGGGCATGGGTGCATCATGAATGTGTGAAAAAAGCTTCAGCATATTAGAATTTTCTTTAAAGCTGTGATTTTTCAATTGTAACACACAGACACATAGATATTTATGTGTGATTTATTGAAAAACACGTGATGCAATGCATTTTAGCATCTCTTCATCTTTCAATATGTATTCTGGAAATTATACTGACATCAATATATTTACAGTTCTATAGGTCTCAACATGAGGAATTTTCAAAGTATACTGGGTGCTTTCCCACAGTTCATACGTAGGCATGGGCCACAGTGTTACTTCATTCTGAAGGTTAGCATCTATGTCAGCAGAATTTTTTTCCTACTTTTCTTATATGCAGTTACTCTCCAGTCTGAGGGGAATTTTACATTTCTAAAATGAAAATTTCCCAGCACATCTTTTTGACACTGTCCACATACATGTGGTTTCTCCCTTGTTGTGTACTGTCTCCTGCACTTGCTCACATACTTGTGCACTGGATGCTTTCCTCACTTGCTGAAGTGCACAGTGTGACTTTCCATTGTGAGTTCTTTCTTGTTTGTGAGACTCACTCTGGTAGTGGAAAGATTTATAACATTGCTTACATGCACATGGTTTCTCCGCAGTCTGAATACTTTGATGTCTTTGCAAGGTACTATTTTGACTGAAAATTTCCCACGCTGCTTACATACATATGGTTCCTCCCCAGTGAGTTCTATCATGTACAAGGTTAATATTTTGTCTGATTTTGCACATTGTTTGCATACATACGGTTTTTCCCCAGTGTCAATTCTCTGATGTATTTTTTATTTATTATTTATTTATTTTGTTTGTTTGTTTTCCAGTACCGGGAATCGAACTCACGACCTCGCACTTGCCAGGCAGGTGCTGTGCTGCTGAGCTAAATCACCAGCCCCCTCTTTGATGTGTTTTTAAGTCATTATTTTGGCTGAAAAATTTTTGACATTGCTTACATACATAGGGCTTTTCCCCAGTGTGAATTCTTTCATTTAAAAGAAGTGTACTATTTTGGCTGAAAGATTTCCCACACTGAATAATGTTGCCCCCAGGTGAAGGATCTTCTGTCTACAAAAATTGAACTGATCAGCAAACCTGTTTTCACATTTTACACATAGTTTCACCCTTGTGTGAATTCTTTCGTGTCTTTGTCAGTGATTGAATCTGCTGAAAGATTTCCCACACTATTACAGCCATAGGGTTTCTCCCCAGTATGAATACTTTGATGACTTTGCAAGGCACTATTTTTCTGGAAAGATTTCCCACATTGCATAATGTTGCACCTCGGAGTGCAATCTTCTATGTCTACAAAAATTGGACTTAACAGCAAATCTTTTTCCACATTCCACACATAAATAGGGTTTCACACTTGTGTGAATGCTTTCATGCCTTTGACAGTGACTAAAAGATTTCCCACATTGCTTACATACAAAGGGTTTCTCGCCAGTGTGAATTCTTTCATGTAGTACAAGGCAACCATTCATCCTAAATGCTTTCCCACACTGCTCACATACATAGGGTTTCTCCCCGGTGTGAATTCTTTCATGTACAAGAAGGTTACCATTTCGACTGAAAGATTTCCCACAATGCTTATATACATAGGGTTTCTCCCCCGTGTGAATTCTTTCATGTACAAGAAGGTTACTATTTTGACGGAAAGATTTCCCACATTGCTTACATACATAGGGTTTCTCCCCAGTGTGAATTCTTTCATGTACAAGAAGGTCACCATTTCGACTGAAAGATTTTCCACACTGCTTACATACACATGGTTTCTCCGCAGTGTGAATTCTTTCATGACTTTTACAGTAACTTTGTGTATTGAATGCTTTCCCACATTGCTCACATTCATAGGGTTTCTCCCCAGTATGAATTCTTTGATGTACTTTCAAGCTACTATTGTGTCTGAAAGATTTCCCACACTGCTTACATACATATGGTTTCTCCCCCGTGTGAATTCTTCCATGTACTAGAAGGCTCCTGTTTGTGCCGAATATTTTCCCACATTGCTTACATAAATAGGGTTTCTGCCCAGTGTGAATTCTTTCATGACTTTGACAGTGACTGTGTATATTGAATGCTTTCCCACACTGCTCATATACATCCGGTGTCTCCCCAGTGTGAGTTTTTTTATGTTTTTGAAAAGAATTCCTAAGAGCTAATGCTTTTACACATTTTGTAATTACAAGGGGTTTCTCTCCAGCATGTCTTCTTTCATATACCTGACTGCGGTATGAAGACATGAAAACACTCTCACAGTGATTGTGTACATATCGACTACCCAAACTGTGATTTCTTTTATGGATTTCCTCACCAGTGGGTGTTGTGGAAGGTTTTACACTTGTCTTACCTAAAATTGTTTTCTCTCTGGGGTGAATTTGTTCACTAAGATTAAAGTTGGCCTTCCCACACTGTTCATATTGATAGAGTTTCTCTCTAGTCTTTCCCATTTCATGCTTGTGAAAGGACTGGAAACCACTGCAGGTTTTTCCATGTCCATTACTTTTATATTGCTTCCCTCCACATCTCAAATAATTGTCTGCATTATATCTGTAAAGGAAAAAGAAGAAAGATACCACTCACAATTCGGTTTGCTGCCTGCTAAGAAATTTTTAAGATGAATTGATCTATGTCCCTCGAGGATACCTTCAATAGTAGTTTTCATTCTATAATAATGGTTTCCATTTGGGAATTTTAAATTGGTATATTATTCCAATACATAATATCCTTTTTCATTTTAGGTGATGGATATGAATGTGCATCAAATATCAATCATTTTTGTGGTCTTCGCCCCACCACTCTCCCCCTTCACTAGCTCACCAGAATGCATTTCCCATCTCCAAAAAGTTAGGATTTTTGTTTATTACCACCTCCTCTACTTTCACTCCCTAAATATACTTCAGATTTCCCATTTAAGAGAAAACCTGTGCTATTTCCCTTTCTGTTTCTTTACTTTTTTCACCTAACATTTTGGAATTGAATCGCAACACTTTCTTTTGGCAAATAATATTACTGATCTTTTTATAGCACATTTTTCAGTGATAAGAGTTAAATACAGGTCTTAGCACTGAATTACATTGCAGATTTACTATTTCTTATTTCAAAAGAGATTCTTACTGATCATTAACTCGCACGGGCTAAACTTCAAGTTGTCATCTGCCCACTCTGTTTCCAGCAGTGCTGGGATTCCTGTAGTGCACTACCATGCTGATGTGACCCAATGTTTTATTTATACAGGCATCTGGTGATGGACATTTGGGCACTTTCCAGAGCTTATCTATTGTGAATTATTTCCAGAACTTAGACATTGTGAATATCCATTCATTCTATGCTTTGAAAAACACACTGCATAAATCACTAAAATTCAATGATTTTAACTCATTTTAGAATATATCACAGAGCACAGTGGCACACTACTATAGTCTCAACACTCAGGAGGCTGAGGCAGGAAGATGACTCTGAACTCAAGGGTCTCCTGAGCTAGAATAAGTTCAAGGGCAACCTGAACTACAGAGCAAACCCTGGCTTAAAAATCAAAAAAATAAGTATATACCCATGGAAGTGTACCTGGATCAAATGGAAATTTTTTTCACTTATGAGAACTCTGTATATTGATTATCATCATGGCTATCACAGTGGTTCTATTTTACATTCCCATCAACAATACGAGAGTGACTCCTAAGAATTTTTTAATGTGAACAGCTCAATATTCTGAAGGATGTTTTCCAAGTACTTATTATGAAAACATGAGCATTCATTTGTATTTTGAATACTGTTTCCATGTGACATATGTTCTAGATAATGTCTCATATTTATCTATACATAAATGGGTATTTTGAAGATCAGTTTCTATCATAATTCAAAATATACTCATTTCATATAAGCCTATATATAATTCTTAAATGCAATCTCATACTTTTTTTTTTTTTTTTTCTTTTTGAGACAGCGTCTTACTATGCAGTTCAGGCTGGCCTTGAACTCAGTTTGTAGCCTAGGCTGGTCTCGAACTCACAATGATCCTCCTGCCTCAGCCTCCCAAGTGCTGGGATTACAGGCGTGCACCACCATGCCCAGCTTCTCATACATTTAAATAACATTGATTGTGGAGGAATTTTTATACTGATATAGGATGTAGTGCTCTTTGTAGCATATTTTAAGTACTACACAGTTTCTTGTATTCATATATCATTTGGAGGACTGACAGATAATACAAAATCAAGGTTAAATTGGCACACGGTCTCATTTTTTCAGTTCCTTCATTGTACTATTTCTGCTCAAATGCTGACTATTGAGAAATAGTCTTTTTCTTGTAATTGAAAATTACCTTAGATTTCTTGAGCAATTTTTGTTCACTGCTTCAACTTGCTGGTTATTCCATGTTCTTCCTGTATTGAAGACACTGAAATACAAAAAGTCAGTATAAGATTATATACACATTCATAGATTCCAGTTATAATCATGGTATAATGTAACCAGTCCTGAGATATACTTCAAAGTATCATAACAATCAATTTCATTAAGTTACATCAGTGAGCAATAATGAATGTTCTATATTTATATAAATAAGAAAATGAGATCATGCTTACCAATAGCATTAATATTCATTAATGTTTCCCACATTACATCTCTGTAGAGCTTCTTTTGGGATGGATTCAGCAAAGCCCACTCTGCCAAGGTGAAGTTCACTGCTACATCCTCAAAGGTCACTCTTTCCTAAATAATGACATGTTTCCTGAAGATAAGCCACACAACCTGATACATCTTAGCTCCTCTAATAATTCCTGAACTGAGGGTTATTCTTTCAAGTATAAACTGCATGGCTTGGTCATCAAACCCATGTGCATGCAAATATTTTCACACATTAACTCTGATGCAAAAGCAACACATTGCCGAAGCAACCATAGAGTAATAGCACTGCTTGTCCTGCAGGGTCACCTCCCTTGTACTTGCGCACTGTCTTTAAAGCAGAGCTCAAAGAGGGAGCCTGCAAACCACCATGGACAAAACATAGAATCATATAAACATCTAATGAATGGGGTTTTTTTGTGTTTTTTGGGGGTGGGGGGTGAGGGGGTGTTCCTGTACCGGGAACCGAACTCACAACCTTGCACTTGCCAGGTAGGCGCTGCGCCACTGAGCTAAATCCCCAGCCCCTAATGAATGGTTTTGATACACCATAAATTATATCTCTTCACATGTGTGATTCATAGCAATGAACCCCTCTGACTTTATGCTTAGGTCACCTTTAGAATTTTTTCATCTGGTTTCATAGTTCCTAGCACTTGAATATAAAAAATTCTGGGATGCGCTTCAGCAGCACGTATACTAAAATTGGAACGATACAGAGAAGATTAGCATGGCCCCTGAGCAAGGATGACATGCAAATTCGTGAAGCGTTCCACATTTTTAACGGATGCAACTAGAGACCATACTCATAAGTGAAATAAATCAGACCCATATGTGTAAACATCATATTGTCTCCTTGGTGGAGGAACCTGAAAGAATAAATAAAACTCAAAACGTACAATTGATGATAGAAAAGGGAAAGAAATTGCTCAAAGGAAGGAACGACTGGGATGAGGGAAAGAAGAAAAAAGGAACTAGGAACTATGAAACCAGATGAAAAAATTCTAAAGGTGACCTAAGCACAAAGACAGAGGGGTTCATTGTTTCTAATGTTTCATCTAATAGTTATTTTCTCATTCTCTTTAATGGTTTGAACAGTCTTCTATTCTTACATATGGTAATCTGAGCAATGTAGTTGAGGATAACAACGTGTAATATAACAACCACTGTTAATTCGTATTATTTTGTCTTGAAACCCTGTATCACTTTAAATGTTCTTGCTTTGGTTTGTTTATGTTTGTGATACTGGTACGCTGCTATTGTTCTATTTTTTGTTTGTTTGTATCTCATTTACTACCTTCTTAAAAAAAAAAATTCTGGGGTGGTATAAGGGAGAATAATATAGAAAAGAGTGTAAATGAAGTATATTAAATGCATTGTAAATCAAGATACTGCAAAGTAACTCATCACTAAATACGAAAGGAAAACTTCAGCCCAGTACCTGCCTGTTCTCCAAGCACTTGGGAAGCTGATATAGGAAGATTATCATCAATTCAGGATTGCCATGAGTTCAATGTCCAGCCTGGGCTATGCAACAAGGACAGTCAAGATTAGCAAGTAAGACCTTTCCCAAATGGCTGCAAAACATAAAAATTATAAAGACTACTGTGTCACTTACAAATCACACATTTGATTTATTAAAATGTAGCTATAAGGTAGAATAAAAGACCACAAATAGGGGACTGGGGATACAGCTCAGGGGCACAGCATCTGGTTGCTAAGTGTGAGGCCCTGAGTTCAATTCCCATTACCAAAAATAGCACAAACAGGACAAAAAACTTTCAATATCTTGTGAGCAATGTGACTCCTTGCATAATATACATGAAAGTCATTCAAATTCCGACTTTCATATCAGTGCATGATTAGTAGAGAATGACAAATAGATCTCAGGAATGGAAGACAAGCTTCAGTGGACCCACATGTAAATAGAACATTTATTCATGTTTCAGCTTATGATATACATCACTCAAAGAAAGCTCAATGTGCTTTCTTTACATTCAGGGACAAACAGGTATGTTTGAAACAATCTGGACTGTATACTCTTCTAGCCTACATACAGAGATTAACTATTGAAATTTGAAAGATAATCTTTTTTTGTTTTTCTCCGGTGCCAGGAACCGAACTCACAACCTTGCGCATGCCAGGCAGGCGCTTTTGCTGTTGAGCTAAATCCCCAGCCCCTTGAAAGGTAATCTTGAATGCTTTTAGAAGTTATTGTGAAAAAACATTCAGTTAAGAAAAAGTATTTCCAGGGCTGGGGATTTAGCTCACCGGCAAAGCGCCTGCCTGGCAAGTGGAAGGTCGTGAGTTCGGTTCCCGGTACCGGAGAAAAACCAAAAAAAAGAAAAAGAAAAAGTGTTTCCTCTGAATTAATTCCAGTAGGCATCAGAAATAAGAGAAATTGAAATCTATGAAAAGGGAGTTAAACAAGAAAATGTTTGCAAGGTACTCAATATAAAGATTTTATATACAGAGTGAAGATAAGTGAACACAAATCTAAGAATTAACTATTACATATCTCATTCAAAAGAAACACTGAATACAAAACATCTAAATAATTGTGAAAATCACCAAAGAAAACTGAAGTGTGGAAGAACAAAATAAGTAGATTTATTCAAGAATGGAGAATCAGCTGCTACATTTCACTGGCTTCTCTTTCACTATGGAGTTTATGAAAATCCACAGACAAGTGATTTCTTTCCAATATCTAGAAAATACATTATTCCTGAGATTAAATATGATACTTTGAGCTGGGCATGGTGACACATGCCTGTAGTCCCAGCACTAGGGAGACTGAGACAGGAGGATCGTTGCAAGTTCGAGACCAGCCTGGGCTACAAAGTGAGCTCAAAGCCAGCCTGAACTGCATACAGAAAAGACAAAAAAGACCAAAACAAAACAAAACAAAACAAAAAAATGATGTGATACTTTTTAAGTTAAATTAAAAAGCCAGGAACTGAACCAACGGACTAAATGGCAAAGTTCTTTCATCTTGATTCGTATATCAGCCCTTGTAAACAATCATGAGGAATAAATAAATAAATACCACAAACCCTCACAAAATATTTATCTGTGCAATTTCTATAAAACTTACTGAAAACTTAAAGGAAAGAAGCTAATGGAAACTCTCTAAGAAAAACACACTGGAAACAGGAAAAGTCACCAAAGGAGGGGAGTTGTCATCAATAATGCAAGAACAATTTGTCTGCTTTTTTTTTTTTTTTTCTTTTTTCCGGTACTGGGAATTGAACTCACGACCTTGCGCTTGCCAGACAGGCAATGTGCCGCTAAGCTAAATCCCCATCCCAAGAGCAATTTCTGACGTGTAGCATTTCTTTATCACCTGGATACTTTCACTCCTTGCCCAAGCACAGTGTTGAAACTTTCTGAATACACTGCGACACTTTCATTGTTATCACTACATCTCACCAAAAAGTTTGGAAAATAAATTTTGCGGGGCTGGGGATTTAGCTCAGCGGCAAAGCGCCTGCCTGGCAAGCGCAAGGTCGTGAGTTCGGTTCCCGGTACCGGAGAAAAACCAAAAAAGAAAATAAATTTTGCTTTAAGTTATTTACACCCTAAATTACAATATGAAGACTTATTAATTCATATGTTTTTCTGTCTTCAAACAGAAATTGTGAGACAATTCACATATTAGGCAACAATGAGCAAAGGATAGTGGCAAATATCAGTTCTAAACGTCAACAGCAAGTAAGTAGTGTGAAACTTTGTTTTCCAAGAGGAGAACAGGTCAGACAATTAGAAAAACAGGTCAAAAAAAAAAAAAAAGAAGAAGAACAGGTCACACTATCAGGGAAGGAGAGAGCAGGTATCAGAGTGGATCAATATCTAGACACCTAAGTTATACAGCAAATGTTCTGCCCACCTAGAGAAGAGGGGTCATTATGTGGACACTGATGAGGATAGATTACATAGAGAGCTATACAAAAAGACATACCAGTGTAGCACTGATTCAACAAATTCTCCTGAAGCTGTATTAACTTGACGATATTCAATATGTACCTCAAAGTAAATAAGGATTACAGAGACGAGATGATAAAATCAGCCACTGTCTTGGTTACGTTTCTCTCATTGCTGGGACAAAATACCTGACGCCCAAAATTAAGGAAGGAAAGGTTTATTTCGCTCACAGTTCGTGGAGGTTTCAATCCTTACTTGGCAGATTACAAGGCAGAGTGGCACATGGCAAAGAGCTACAGCTCAGGGCAGCAGAACACAGCAAAAGCAGCAAGCACACACCAGGGCGGAATGGGGGAGGAATGGCCTCAAGCACCCTCTTCCTCTCCCTTACATATGCAAACTATCCACCCCAGGGCGGGTGCAGCTCTCACACCCATATTCAAACTCTAATAGCCTGCCCCATGGCCACATGAGGCTTTGGGGGGACACACAGACATAAACCATAACAGCCACTTTAAAAACAAATAACAGTCCTTAATGCTTATATGACATTACATAAGAAAACTACATAAGAAAAAGTAAACTACATAAGAAAAACTACATAAGAAAACTACATAAGAAAAAGTAAACTACATAAGAAAAACTACATAAGAAAACTACATAAGAAAAAGCAGGAATCAAAGGAAAACTCATTTTTTTACAACTATATATTTGAGGATTCAGAACAACTCCATTAGTAACAAACAGTTGAAGTAGGCAAAGAAATCTTTAAAGTTAAATATAAGGCTGAGGCAGAAGGGTCATTGCAAGTTCGAGACCAGCCTGGACTACAAAGTGAGCTCAAGGCCAGCCTGAACTGCAGAGCAAGACCCTGTCTCAAAAAAAGACAAAAATATAAAAATAAAAAAAAATTCAAATATAAAAGCAACAAGATCATATTTCAAAGGGAATTATCAGATGGATCCTATCCAATGTAGCACACTGTCTTTTCAAATCCAAAGAAATATTCATCCATGTAGCCCATGATCAGAGCAACAATAAAAAATTAATTTAATCAAAGGAGTGGAAATCATGCAAAGCAAGTTCTCACACAATACTGGACTAAAACTAGAAATGAAAAGCAGAAACGTTTAGAATAATCTTAAGAAGGAGAGATCAAATTACAAATTTTTAAATGACACATTTTAATGAACTGCTTCTTTTTTTTTTTTTTTTTTTTTCCTCCAGTACTGGGGATCAAACTCACAACCTTGTGCTTGCCAGGCAGGCGCTTATGCCACTGAGCTATATCCCCAGCCCCCAACTGCTTCATTATTAAGGACTTAACATTGTGTAACACTGAATGTACATTTTTATTTATTTCAGGGACTCAAGATGGGTGCTTCAAAACATAGTACAAATAATAAATGTACATATTGGACAAGAAAAAGGGTATCAGTTTCAGAGAATGAGAGAAAATAGGGCCAAGGGAAGCTCATCAGTGGGGCTATGAGCTGAGTGCATCATATCATTCCGTAGCAAGTTCTTTGAGAAGTCTGAGACTAAGGCCAACTGTGACCCTAATAGAGCCACCCCTGAGCCTAGGGGTGGCGAGTTCCAGTGAGAAGATTCGAGAAAATAACAGCAACATAAAAATGATTATCACGGGGCTGGGGATTTAGCTCAGCGGCAAAAGCGCCTGCCTGGCAAGCGCAAGGTCGTGAGTTCGGTTCCCGGTACCAGAGAAAAACCAAAAAAAAAAAAACAAAAAACAAAAAGCCAGTCACAAATTATCCTCTAAGCAAATTCTGGATTGTTGAAATGCTATCATTTCTATCAAATTCTATCATTTCAATAAAAATAAGAAAAGGCAGG